AGTCCTTCTGGGCTGCTTCTCTGTGTAGAATGAGCTGAAAGAAATCAAGAATGGAAATGAGACTTTCAATTAAGAGGTCATTGCATTGGGCAAAGCGTGATTATGACTTTGACTGGGATGGTGGTAGTGACGACAGAGAGGGGTTGCAAGGCTGTGGAAGACAGCTGCGAGATGGACGCAGCAGGATCCAAGCTGCCTGAGATGCGGTAGGACAACAGCTTTCAGGAACACTCTCTTTCTAGAGAACCTTTTCTAAATGGAACTCCCCTTCTCAGTGATGGATGAAAAGCTGAAAGGAAGAAGAAATTGAGTTTGACCCTGGTCTCCAGCCCATTGGCTCCTGTGGAGCCCAGGCCACACCACACCCACGGCTAGCATCAGAAATGACGTTGCCGAGAAAAGCAACACTGACACCACTCGAGCCTGGAGCCTCTGTCCTCAGTGTGGCTTGTCCATTTTGGTCTCCTGCGTGCCAGCATCTGTAGAAGGTTACATTCTATCGCCTTCCCAGGAAACCAAGGCCGCCTGTGTGAAGAGTGGAGGGTGGGGTGAGTGATGTGCTCTTTTGAGTTAGCCCCATCAGCTTTAAAGGAACTTCTGTCTCTCAATTTATCTCGAATATTGTGGAACAGAGAATAGCTCTTTTGTGGGGAACAGTGATGTTTAATGTTGTTATGTAAAGTCATATCTCCATTCAATCATTTTGTAAAGATCTTTTTTTTCCAGTTTCAAGTGAAGTTCCGCAGTCTTTCAGAATTGGGTAAATCCAGACTCATTGGAGTCAGACTTATCATACATAATTCTGTATTTAATGTTAATACTGCCTTCTTATTATCCCTCTCTGTAGCCAACAGAGTTTCTGCTTTTCGTGGGGACTGCGCAGTCAGGTATTTCCTCACCTGGACGTCTCTTCTGTCCTGTTCTTTGTCAGCCACGGGGCAAATGTGAAGGCAGGCAGGTGTCCCTCCACTCCAGCAGCCTGCCTTCTAGGGCAGGCACTCTCTGGTTCGGGATCTTGGGCCCAAGGATGTCCACAAAAAGGACTAATTAACTAGTCGTCAGCTGGGAATTAACTCGTCCTCTGAGGGATTTTGAGTGGGTTGACCTCAAAAATAAGTTTTGATGCATTTGGTAAAATCCGTCATACCAAGACCCGCTGGGTATGTATTGATTAATCTACCACTGCCCGATGAACCACTGAACTTGATGAACATGTACCAGCTCTACCCAGGTAACTTTGGGCTCATTGGCATGAAGCTGGAATCTAACTCTGTTCAAAAAAACTCTCTTATTAAATGAAACCAAAGGACTCTGATAGGCGTCCTTATAGGATTGTGAGCGATGTACCCCTTCATCGCACTTATTCCTCCTCATTCTCACAGCATCTTTGTTCTGGAACCTTCAACAATATATATTTTGAGATGCAGTTCAACTGCCGTATTCTCTACGACGCTCTTCCTGTGGCCAGAACTACCACCACCCACCTACTCGTAGTTCCGTAGCTTTTCACAGTAGCTCCGCCACAACTGTGGTGGGGGGCTGGTGGGGGAGAGGTGGGTGCAGGTGTCAAGGCAAGAAAGGTGAGGTTTCTGATTCCACCTGACCCTCAGGCAGGATTTCCCAGGACGGAAGCCACCACTCGCCAGGTCTGCACCTCACCCTCGCGGGGCTGAAACCAGGCTCTGAGCTCCTCAAAGGTGACCCATGACTTTGTGGCAGTCTGACTTATTACATGTAGCAGCATAAAACATTGAACCCATTTCTCCGTATAAGTACTTTCTGAAACCAATCTAAACTTCCTATGGGGCCTCTCTATACCACTGAGTAGAGGGAAGGAAAATAAACTTATTTTTTTAAAAGATTTTATGTACTTCTTTTTAGAGAGTGGAGAGAGAAAGAGAGGGAGAGAAACATCAGTGTGTGAGAGAAATACGCATCAGCGCACGCCCGCAACTGAGGACCCAGCCCGCAGCCCATGTGTACTGACCAGGAATCCAACCAGCGACCTTTCCGTTTGTAGGTCAGCACTCAATCCATTGAGCCACACCGGCCAGGGCTATTATATGTCTTTTACCTTCACTTTCTAATTTGTATGAGGAAGATGCTCATATCTGTACCGGTACAAGGCTCATACAGGCTTGACCATTTCATTTGCAAGCAAATTAACAGTAGGACACATGCCCAACCCACTAAGCTACACCATTCAGGTTAAACTTAACTTGCCAATTAAGTGTAATTGCAACTCTTCCCGGGAAACCAATTTCTTAATGGTAAAATCAGTCCCTTTGAGGACATTAACTTTCTTTCTCTTCATGTTATTTTTGTAACCATCCTAAAACTCCCCCAAGGCAAGTAAATAGAACTGGGACAGGGTTGAAGGGTGTGGGGGCAGGGGAGGGAAAGAGTAAAGAAATACAAAGAGAAATGCATGTCAATACATTTAAAAATGTTATCTCTAACACACTGTACTAAAACTAAAACATAAACTAAAAAACCACTTATTAATTGATGGTGGGAATTCTCGTGTCCAGAATTTGACCTCCCTTCCCATACCCCATCCTGGAACTGAGAGGTGCAGAACAGCGCTGTAACAGTTAGAAATGTTGCTTGGTGAGCATGAAATGCCAACAACAGCAACAACAGAAGTCAAATCATGTGTAAGGACATTCCAATAAGCCCTGGGAAAAGCCTACTACGCAGCCCTGGTTCCAGGGCCAAGACGGGTTTTCTCTGGTTTTCTTCTATCCGTGGGTTTTCTTCTTCTTTGTCCCAGTTGTCTCATTCAGGGCAACAATGGACATTCACAGAACCTTTCTTGCTGAAGCGAGAACATACCTCTGTTTGGTCTGCTTTATTTTTCTGTGAGTGTAGTAATAGCACGGTATTTGCAAAGGCCCTGTGCCTTTGGACTGGGAGAAAGCCTGTCTTTTACTATTACATCAGGGCTCCCCAGTTTCTGGGCCTCGGACTGGTACCAGTCTGAGCCTATTAGGAATGGGCCACGCATCAGGAGGTGAGCTTGAGTGTAATACACTTGAACCATCCTGAAACCATCCCCCGCCTCCAGGTCTGTGGAAAACTTGTCTTCCATGAAACCAGTCCCTGGTGCCAAAAAGGTTGGGGACCATTTACATAATACTTTTTTTTTCCTCTACCAAAGTCTTTTACTATTATGTGCTTAGCCAATCAAACTGAGAAATTGTAAGAACACTTACCACATTCAACCTCAATTATAGTGGAAGCCACAGTACAACAGGCAAAAGCTACTGCAACCTGGGTAGATACTGCCGCCAGATGGGTGAAATAAGTTATCCGAGTCTTGGGAAGAGACTGTAAGTTCAATCCTACTGGATATTTATCTCTACCACATGAGTTTAGGTAAATTAAGCTCTCTACCCATAATTAACACAGCTGTAATATGTAAATAATTCAGTGACAACCTATAATGTGATGGTTAAATTGATGTTTGGACCTGCGCCACCAGGTGTACAGACATCATTCTGAGTGTGTCTGTGAGAGCGTTTTGGATGAGATCAACTTCTGAATCAGCAGACTAAGTAAAGTAGACTGCCCTCCCTGGTATGGTAGGGCCCCATCCCATTGGTTGAAAGCTGACTAGGACAAAAAGACTGACCTTCCTGCAAGTAAGAAGGGACTCCTCCTGCCTGGCTATTTGAGCTAGAACATTGGCCTTTTCCTGCTTTCACACTCAGACGGAAACGTTGGCCTGCGTTGGATCATGGGCCTGCCAGCTTTCAGAATGGAACCCTCATATGCGCTCTCGTGGTTCCTAGGCCTTCAAACTCAGATTAGAATTATACCATTAGCGTTCCTCGGTTCCAGCTTGCCCGCTGCAGCTCTTGGGACTTCTTGGCCTCTATAATTGCGTGAGCCATTCCTTATAAAATAACTTCCTTTCTCTATATACATTCTGTTGGTTTTGTTTTTCTTGGAGAACCCTGATTAATACAGATTTGGGCACTGAGAGTGGTTAGTAAACAAATATAATAATGAGACCAGCTACTTGCTCTTAATATCACTGGACAAAATGTAGAAAGAAAAGGATGGACTCAGGGATTTTAATTCCAGTTTATGTGCTCCATAAATAATCAAAAGCATCTATGTGTGCTCTGAAGAATATCCTTATCTCCTGTAGCCACAGGACTGAGATTACTAAAAATCAAACCCAGAATCTTGTCTTGTGACTGGCTAAATTACAATGTAAGTTGAACTCCCAGCCTCACCGGGTGCCCACTGTGAAAGTGAGGGCACTGAATGTCGAAGGCATGCCATAAAGTCGATGTGAGAATTAAATCAGATAATTCATGAAAAGCTTCTAGCACAGCTCCTAGTATACAGTAAACACTCATTAAGCATTTTTGTGTCTGTGTTTCTGCAAAATAGGTGTCTTATTTTCAGCTCATCTCTAATCAGGAAGTGGCTCTACTCACCATAGGAGATTTCACTTCTTCACCCACTATCCCATCATCAGAAAGACAGTGTGATACAGCCCTGGCTGGTGTGGCTCAGTGGACTGAGTGCCAGCCTGCGAGTGGAAAGGTCTCCAGTTCAAATGCTCAGTCAGGGTACATGCCTGGGTTGTGGGCTAGGTCCCTAGTGGTGGGAGTGTGAGAGGCAACCAATCAATACATCTCTTGCCCTTGGTATTTCTTCCCCTCTCTTTCTTCTTCCCTTTCCCTCTCTATAAAAATAAATAAATGAAATCTTTAAAAAAATGTGCTACAGTTACCTCTTACTACCATATATAATTCTCAGCTTATGTATATTATGTGATCTTACAAAACTTTAAAAGGCTAATAAATAAATTCAAGATGGTTATTAATTTTTAATTCCCCTTGTTCAATTTTTTTAAAAGATTCGGTTGTGCAGTTTTTCCTTCTATACTGCCTCAGTCCAGATCCAGGGGAAGCTGGGATTCCCTGGTGGGCAAAGTGTTCGTGATCATGATAGTCTTCGGTACAAACGACAGAAAATCCCACTGCCAACAGCGTAAACAAATAAGGAAATTTATTGACTCCAATAACAAGAAATCCAAAGGTTGAGAAACTATGGAAGCAACATCATTACAGCTGCAGTTCCATTTACTTCTCTGCAGCTCATTTGACTCAGACCTTGTGTATCGCTTTTGTTCTCAAACTGGCTCCTCTTGCGGCCCCAGTATCCTCAGCCTAAGGACAAAACAAAATCCAAAGGGAAAAGCTGCCATCTCTTTGTTTCTTAAAACAAGGAAAATGTCCCCCTAAATTCCTAAGTGTCTCTTTTAGTCAATTTCCATTATCTTTAGATGTCTCTGACATCTCATTGGCCAGAATAATGTCACATGGCCATGCCTACACTCATCACTGGATGAAGAAAAAAAACCACCATGATTGGTCTACACCAATTAGCACTCACCTGTGGGGGAATTGTCCAAGCACAGGAGCCTGCTTGGGTTTTATTAGGAAAAAGGAAGGTTAGGCTGCCAACAGTATATGCAGCAGAGATTTATAAACCAATGAGACTTTCTACCAGAAGCAATAGGAATCCGTGAGGAGCACATAATAAAGAATGAGAGAGGAAAGCTCCCAATCATGTTTAAAACATAACTATGAAACATCAGAGTGCCAAGCTTAGGAATAAATAAAACCCAGACCCTGGCAGGGCTGCCAGGTCCAGAATTATTAATTATTTGTGTATTCAAAGGCACATAAACTGTTGCCTTTGAGGTAGACTCTCCACCCACCCTCCAAAGGGAATAGGGTAAAAGTCACTGGGACTCACATATGCACATAAATAGGAAGATGACAAGGGTTCCACATTTAATTTAAGTGAGAGGGACTTCTGCAATCAGCTCAAGAATACATGGAAGGAGAGAACAGCTTAGAGAATCAAAATGTCTGGACAGTAATCTTTGCCCAGGAGTTACAGAAAATGCTTGAAATATGTCAGAAACCAGAAGGGCACCTCCCCACCTCCATTTTCATTTGTTACGAAAATAATTAGGGGAAATAGGAAAAGCAGGTGGGGCAAACTATGCCATTTGGCAACTCAAAATGCTAGTACTGGATCACGTTTTTGTTCATTGTCCACTAAATGGACATGTTCTTCACTGGATGCTTGGCTTATCTCTGTACCCGTAGGTAAATCTTTATTGTCTAAGTCAGCATGGTGGTCTCATTTCCTATGCTTGTGATCATTTTAGGCATGAACATGAGGTATTTTTTGGCCCATAGCAAAATAAAATAGAAATCATAAACTCACTCCTGGTCATAACTTGATGGACTCTCAGAACATCAAGAACAAAGAGAAAATTGTCAAAAGCTTTCAGTAAAGAGGAAAAAACCCATAAAGTAGTAAGAATCGGGTTTCTCATTGGCAACCATGGATGCCAAAATAAAAAAACCAAAGTGCTAAGAGAAAATAATTGTTAACATCAAATCCTATGTGTATAAAAATTACAATTAAAGAGTGAGAGCAAAATATAGAAAGAGGCACATGAATCTTTTTAAACAATAACTTGAGTTTCTCCTTTGGAAAAATAGCCAAATGGATGATACAGCCAAGAATTAAAAAGATAGGTTGTAGGAAATGGTGAGGAGCAAAGAAACGATTAAAGCACAGTCATGTTAAATAATTATTGATTGTAAAATAATCAATAACCTGAGCCCTGACTAGTGTAGCTCAGTTGGTTGGATATCATCTCACAAAGCAAAAGTTTGCCAGTCCAATGCCCAGTCAGGGCACATGCCTGGGTTGCGAGTTCAGTGCCCGGTCAGGGAGTGTAAAAGAGGCCGCCTATTGATGTTTCTTTCTTACACTGATGTTTCTCTCCCTGTCTGTCTCCCTCCCTTCCCCTCTCTCTAAAAAATAAATCTTCTTCAAAACTCAGTAATCTGAAATGAATGCAGAAAGATGCCGTGTTTGCTGAAGTGCTTGTCTTTGTGAGCAGGAATGTAAATACATTGATTATATCTCGTGGGGTTTTTTTGACTTTTTTAAAAGATTTTACTGTATTTTTTCATTACCACTTACTTCCTTATACCGCTTCCCCTCACTGCAATCACCACACTGTTGTCCTTGTCCACAAGTTCTTTTTCCTTTTTTGCTCAATCCTTCCGCCCCCTAATTCCTTCCTGTAGCTGTCATCTGCTCTCTCTCTATGGGTCTGTCTCTATTTTGCTTGTTAGTTCAGTTTGTTCATTAGATTCCACATACAAGGGAAATCATATGGTATTATTGTAAAGAAACAGAACTTGATGAATCAGGAAAAAATCGATTTGATGGATAAACCTAAAGCTGTTCTTGAGAAAGATCAACAAAATAGACAAGTATTTAGCAAGTCAGACTGAAAGGAAAAAGAGATAGCATGCAAATAAACAACAAGGAATATGTGAAAAATTATAAGAGAAAAATGTGTTCCAGAAAATATGGGTGAAAATGTATTGTCTCCACAATAAATTTCAAAGCTAGTCAATATGAGAAGGCACAGTTAGTTCCTCAATGAACGTAATTCACCACATTAACAGATTGAAGGACGAAAGCATTATGAAAATTATAATAGCTAACTCATATAGGAATTTCTGTGTGCCAGGCACTGTTCCAAGTACTTGAAATACATTAATTCATTTAGTTTCAATAAATGCTATGAAAACACTTGATTAAATTAAATCCAATTCCTGATTGAAATTGTAATAATATCTTTTACAAATAAAAAGAAGTATTCCTATTCTTAAAAAAGGCAGTTAAAGTATCTACTGGCAGTCCATGGCAAGCATGACACTTGATGGTGGTGTTAGGGCTTTTCATATCAAATGTCACAAACTCAACTCAAAATAGTTTAAACAGAAAACATATTTCTACAAAGAACTTCAAAGTTCCAGGGAATTCATCTAGATTGGCAATACCTGGATCCAGTCTGGGGTATAAAAGATTATTGTTTGCACTAAAATAGCAACACATCCTGGTGCATATAAACTAAGACTCAATTTACAAAAATTCAAAGTACGTACGATTTATCAGAAATATTCCAGATGTACCCACACCCTGGTCCTTTGATTTGGACCATTTTTAGTCCAGTTCATTCAAGATGACTGTGACTAGAGAGAAATCAGGAGAGCCCCCTCTCCTCACCCCATCCCTGCCTTTTCCTCATTTTTTGGTCTCCCCACCTTATCTCACCCTTAGTTCTTGCTCACAGGTGGCTTCTGGTTTGTGTGAGGTGTTGCCTGAAGAACTTCTGGATCTCTCCCCAGGCGTGCTCCTGGGCAGCTGCGTGCGCAGCAGGGTCCCCTCCCCAGAGCAGCATTAGGAACCTGGAAGTGCTCCGTGAGGCGTAGCAGAGGGGCATGTAGGGTGGCTCTATGAGGTGGCCAGCCCCGGGGTAGACCAGCGCCCTTCCATTGCTTCTCCCGTGGCTCTTCAGCTGCTCCAAGGCCTGCTTAGCATGTTCTTTACTTTTTATAGATTGGTCATTCTCTCCTATTATGAAGAGGATCTGACCCTGAGCCTTTTCAATGGGCAACACGCTCTGCTGATTCACTTTATCCCGGGGGTCTCCCCGGAAGTGGAGGAGGCTCAGGGCCCCCGAGACATCAGTCTCCGTGCGCTCCATATATGATGGGATGGGTAACATAACCAGATCCTTGTACTTGAATGGAAAGTCAAAGATCGCATTGGCCCCACTGATGCAGACAGTGGCTACCACCTGCTTCAGGAAGCAAGCCATGGCCAGCCCAATCTCTGCACCTTTGCTCAGAGATAGGACTCCAATTCCTGGCCCTTGGATCTGAAATACAAAATAAAGGGAACCCATTACAGGCCATACATTGAGAAGGGGCAGCTAGTATGATGGACAGTCAGAAAATGTGGGGTGGGGGTCCTGGCACTCAGGTTCACCAGCTTCCGTGACTGAGAGCACTACCTGTTGTCTTATGGGGACGATAATATTACCTTCCTGGCAGGACTGTTACTGAGGATCAGCAAAGGCAGACTTACATAACAGCCTAAAGGATCCAGGGATGGCAGCAACATTTGCCATCACAAGAGCAGAGGCAGGTTAGCTTTCTGAAGAATCAAACTCTTCTCTCCAGCTAGGAAAAGAGGTCTCCTAGGTCCTTTCAAATAACATGTTAGTGTAGTTCATATTGAAATAGCATTTTGCAGCACATTCATAATCCAAAGGCTAATCCTAATGAGAAAAGATTTGGATTCTACCAACAGGCCAATTTCTGTACCCAGTCCAACAGGAAAAGTAGTAGGTGGTAGGAGGGAGTCCTTCCTTCTCTGACAGGCTGAAGTAGCAGAAAGTGGAGGGGAATCTGAGAGATGAGGGAGGGAAGGACCGGTATTCTGGACGGAAAACAGCAAAGACATGGCCACCTACTAAGTTTCCTTTTCTCACAATTGTATTCTTAACATCCTTTGTCATCAGAATCACCTGGAAAAAAAAACTTTTGAAATTAGAGCTTTCCAAGATCCAATTGTTCAAGTTTCTACTACAGATGGGCTGAGGAGGCCCAAGAATTTGGTACTATAAAATATTCCCCAGGAAATCTAGTGTATATCCACACTTGGGAACCACCTGCTTGAGGAATAAATAGTGGAGTGAAAGAGAAGGAACGTAACTGGAGATAGGAAGCTGATTCAGTGCAGCTGCAACATCACAGGTGAGCGATGATGAGGCAGCAAACTAAAACGGTGGCAGGGAGGGTAGAGAGAGTGTGATGTGTTGAGGAAGATTCCAGAGTAGAATCCAAAACACTTTGGGATTGGTTGAGGGTGTGGGGAAAAGAAGAGGGAAGGTCCCAGATAGGCAATGATGACAAGGTGGATTCGTTAGGTTCACTGTACACTAGACGAAGGATTTTCAACTGTGTGCCACAAGAATTATTAAAACATGCAACACCTGACTACTGAGTCAGGGGTACTGACCTCTGTTCCCTTAAATTGCCAAATTCAAACATGAGAACAGGCAACACGACAGTAGCCATCTGGTGAGAATGAGTCAAAACGATATCTATTTTTGGTCAGATTACAAAATGTATATATTTTGGGTGTGGTACAGAATTTAATTAATCAGTTTATGTGTGCCATGAGATGAAAAAGCTTGAAAATCACCATCTAGACTCTAGGCTAGGTGCTCTACACATATTATCTCAGTCAGGCCTTCTAAGAAAACTGAGATTCAGTGAGTCTCAGCCTCACTCAAGTTACAGCAGTATCAAGGGGAGAAGGGAGGAATTGAACCTCTTCTGCTGACTGTAACGCCAAATTGAGTTTTGACAATTGCCCTTTCTCCCCAGACAATGCCACAAGTAGTTAAATCTGAAATGAAAAAAAATAAGAACTTGAAAACATTTTGTATGGGATTTGATTCCTTTTAGGTAGTGTTTTCAAAAGAGATACAAAGGCTAGAAAAATCACACGTGTGCTGCTGCTGCTGCTGATGATGATGGTGACATTGAAGATGAAGATATCAATGTGCTCCAATAGGAAACCCAGCTCTCCGCCTTGAGAAGAGTGAAGACTCTCCAGGGAGACAAGGATACAAGGCAGGGAGTGAGGATGACTTAAGGTCTGGAGCAAAGACATGGCCAGAAGGGCTCCATCACAAGCCATGTGGCTTTGGCACATTGCTTCGCCTGACTATGCTTTCTCATCTGAAAAATGAGGATGATGTCAATAATACTCATTTCACAAAGTTATCATGAGCATCACTTACATGAGATAGTATATATAAAGTGTTCAGCATAGAGTCTAACAAAGCTTAATGTTAGCTGGTACGATTATTCTACCACTGTTAGGTTGAATAATAAGAAATACAGTAACTGATATTTGAGTACTTTTTAACTAGAAAAGGATAAGTTAATATGGTTCAACTTAACGGAATGTCAATGTTGACACCTGACTATCTGCTGTTTATCCTTAAGTATCTTTTTTGAATCATTACCGCAAATACCAGTACTCTGTTGTCTAATAAAGTGAGCTACATCAGCTGATATTTAATTCCTAGAAAAGACCTAGGTTATCCAGTGTACTATTCCAGTCCTTATCAAACTTGAATGTACATACGAATTAATTACCTCGGGATGTTGTTAAAATGCAGATGTTGATACAGAGACAGGACCTGAGAGTCTACCCTCGAAGGCTCCTAGGTGATGCCGAGACCTCTGGTCCAGGGACCACATTTTCAATAGCACAGTGTCACTTGACAAACAGATCTAAAATCACCCTGCCTTTCCCTAGCCTAGCCCCTCACATTGAACCCTTACTTAAGATTCTGCTCCTGGATCTGAAACTCAAGAGCTAATGCAGCCAAGTCAGGTGGTGCAGCTAAGTCAGTTTTGCTGATAATCCTGCTCTGCTCTCATAGCCCAGCTCTTATTTTGAACTTCTGCATTGTTCTCAGTCTCAGGACTCTTTAATGAAATTTATGCCAGCATCCCCCCATGCTGAGATAATCACTGAAGTCCGAAAACATGTCAAGCCTGAGAATTGGTGGCTGATTTGAGACTTCCACTCTCTGTTATTGTCCTCTTGATGCCAGTAGGCACTGAGCTGACCTCTCGCCAGCCCCACAGTCCCACAAGGTAGACGCTGGCATGCCCCTTTGAGTAGTAAACTCGTGTGTTGTGCCCAAGTCGGAACAGATTGGTAAAACGGGCAGAAGCGACATCGGTGATACTTTTCGTCCATTGCTATAAGGTGGCAAGGTAAAAGGAAGAGTATTTTAAATACCTTGGGATGAGCTAGTAAGAAATTGACGGCTTCCTCAAAATATTCCATATCCACCTCCACCAGTAGTTTGGGCAGGTCTTCATAGGCAAAATATGCTAATGCCAGGACTGCAAAGCCATGGGCAGCCAAAAGACTAGCTCGGAATTCCAATAGCCCCCCGGTTCCCCCGTACAAATCGATGATTCCAGGGAAAGGGCCTTCTCCTGAGGACAAGAGAGAAGAGAAGGAGATTAGAAACAGTGAAGAGAGGGTCAGGTGGACAGCACAGTCGAAGAAAAATGAATTCCATCTCCACACACCAACACACAAGGGCAAGTGAATTTTAATAGATTGCAGGAAATGCTAGCTCTCCAATACTTGGTGCCGTCTCTTTTTGGGTTCCCCTCCCCCATCAACACTGTTTTCTCTACCACCAAATATTAGTCTCACCTGGGGGGAGAAAAAGGGCTCCTCGCAGGCGGCCCTCTCGGATCTGCACCCGCTGCATCCCTGGGCGTCGGAACCAGCGCTGCACCACCTGACTGGCACCGGGCTGAACCATGGCCAACTCTGGGATGCAAGCCGAGTTGTATATGTCCAAAGTGACAGAAAAGGGGCTGTTCATCACATCCTTCTTAAGCAGCCTCATGAAAGGCTTTTCAGACTTCAGAGACCAAAAGAGGCCCATTGGATGGACCCCTACGTAATCGCCTCCTAAGGAAGGAGCCTGCTTCAGGTCCAGCTCACCAGCCTCATTAGCCCTGTAGAAGGCTTTGGACTGGAACAGATTTCCTCTCTCATCCTTCAGAGATGCCGTGAGGGTCACCAGCTGCATTGGAGGCAAGCCGGTCGCTCGGATGTGCACGGGCTCATCAGCAAGGGCACTTGCTGGGGTGGCTGTCAGCTGGGGCATTGGCATCTGGCCAAGGGACCACTGAGTGGTGTTTTCTGCCCTGCAGTGGAAGAGGAGACTTTGAATTGGAGCCCTAAATTCTGGAGTAAAGGTCCAGACAAGGCTTATGTTAGGTCTAGCCAAGTTAGACTCCTTGGAGTCAGTGCATGGTACGCAGAACATTTGGAGGAGGGAGAGAAAGACGTGCGTTATTCTCACTTTACCCAGGAGGAAGCAGGTTCAGCGACATGGTGAGTCTTATAAATAATTAATAGTAAACTGGAAATTCAAGCTAAGCCTGGCACCACAGCCTCCCGTCTTATCCATTATAACAGTGTAGTAAATCTTAGTTTTGTGGTTTTAAGTAAATTGAGCTTGAATTCCTCAGTGAAGACAATACCCATATGACCAATTCACAGGGTATTTGTTAGCACCCAAAGGGGCAATCGTGATCAAGGGTTTATAGGAAGGATCTGTGCTGCTTTTCGGCCCCCAGCCTCCCCGGGCTGCAGTTACATAAACAAGAAGTGTATTGTGGGAGTGTCTGTGATTTTCTCTCTAATCCCACCCTGCCCTTTTCACAGTTCCTATTATTTGTTCTTTTTAAGAGAAAATAACATTGTATGATCTTGTTTCTGCTTTTATGCCTTTACAAGGGAGCGATAGATGTAAAAATGTTGTTTGTAGTCAAGAGACCATAATATACATTGGGTCAGTTATTTTTTTATACTCAGCTCAATTATAAGGAAAATTGGGGGTGTTCCTTTTTTCCTTCCTTCTTTCCTTCCTTCCCTCATTTTTTTATACCTCATTTGTCAAAAGGATTTGAACTATCTACAGATAAACAAATACAGAGTAAAATAAAAATAAAATAAGATCTGGGAAAATGAGAACTAGAATCAGAGGCTTTGAACATAGAAAACCTGGAGCATGAAAAGTAGAGCATTTCATGAGCTGTGTGTTTGGCACTGAATTAGTGAGAGCCGCGGGAAAGAAGGCAACCTGCTCAGTTTTGTTGTTCTAATTATTCTCATAGAGACAGTTACCAGCTTCGGAGGGGCGGGGGGCAACAGAGTGAGGTCTTTCCAAAATTTAGCTCTAAAAAGAATGTCTCATATGAGACGTTGACAAAGTATGTACTATTTTTTCAGTAATATCTTTACATACATTGTGGTAGAAAGTGTTTCTTCAGAAAGCTCGATTCCCCAAGGCATCCTTAACTTCTTATGGGGAAATACAAAATAAAGGCTTTGGGGTTTAGATTTGTGAGTAGAGAAGCTTCTGGAGAAATGAAACTGGCTCTGGCAGGGACAAAAAAGCAACACCCGGCATTCAATCTTTTGCTGTGGAAAGAGAGTCATTAGAGAGGCAGGTGATGGTCAAGGGGCAAATGCCTTTTTGAACTTACGTTAGAAGTGATTTTCTGCAAAGACAACACCCCCACCCAACCTGATCCTTTATCAACAACCAGGATTACTGACCATTCTGTGTACACCAAAACTCAGGGTCAATGGAGCAGTTTTGAATTAAATGAGTGATTGTGAATGTTTTTTCTCAGTACTGGGAAAGTCCTTGAAGAAGGGGGCATCAGTTCAAGTTCATGGGCCTTACATTCATGTTAGTGAGATGAGACCATGTTTTTAAAAAACCCCACGTCCCCTGCAACGTTTTGATGGTCTGTAGGTATTTTCTGATCTGATCCTTCCGGTAAGCCTGTGTATCTGCTATTTCCTTTGTCCCCCTCCACAGGGATCGTGAAGAAGGGATCATTGATTTCCCCTGTTTGACATGTCCTTTCCAATTATTGTTATTAGTCTCCTTCTCAAAACTTCTATACAATGTATTGGCTCAATATAGATTTTATTTTCAAGTAGAATTAATTTGAATTGCTTACCATATCCACTCCCCAGCATGCATCCTGCCTCTGGTCTACTCCTCCCTAGTGAACTTGCAAAGTCCTCAAGGGCAAGAATGATGTGCTAAAACTTTAAGGATCCTAATGATACTCATGTATCACACAATGTACATACTCAGGAGTTAGGAGATTCCTGCCTGATGGGCAGGAAAAAAAATAATAGCACCAAAAATGTAATAAAAACACTGTATTTATACAGTGCTCTTGTAATATGAAATGTTGAGGTTTCTTCCTCTTTATGTGAGAATTGCCTCCTAAAGCCCAGAGATGGACTGAGGGCCGTATACAAAAGGGCCGTGTTCAGTTTGTTGAGTCCATTTTCATTTTTGGGTGCCAAGTCGGGGCGGCTGTTGATGGTCAGTGAGTACTATATTGAAGGGGGAAGAGGATAGCAGATTGATCATGCTTGCCTCTCCTTCCTGAATTACCTACTCCAACTCCCCTCAGGCGTGGGACAATAAGTTAAGAGAGTAAGCAGACTCTATTGGTGTAACAGAAAATCAGAGAACATTTTGCAGTCTATGAAATGAATTTGTACACATGGCAACCCAGCTGCACACTGACACTTTGCTATTATTGTAAACATTGCACAGTATGGATGGTATAAGAAGAGCACTGTAATAAAAATTATTTTTAGGGGATTTTTCTCATTTTGTTATTTATTATACCACTGTTTCATATTTTAATAAGCATTTGCATTTTACAAATACCTGTATGGTCCTATATGGTGATTTTTTAAAGATAAATAAAAAATGGAAGAAGAGAATTGAAGAACTAGGGACAAGTCTGATAAGATTAGTGATGGAGAATTGCCATCTTCTGACTCATTTCACAAAGGACAGCCAAAAAAACCCCACTCTTCACAACAAAACTACTGATTTATTTATGTCAGTTGGTAATACAATTGTCCTGCTCCCCTGTGCATCTTCTTTAACAAGCAATTTAAAAAGGGAGCAATGGCACCAGGAAAATTGAAAAGGAAATCATGTACTTCAACCATTTGACAAGTAAAAGAATTGGTTATTTTAAATGGTTATTGAAGTTATATTCTCCCCTGATTCCAATTTTTCCTCTAACTGCAAACAATTTTTGAGCAATGGCTGCCACATTCATGTAAGGGTAACGTCTACCACCTTTGGCCTAGCACTGAAGATCTTTTGCATGGGGGTGGCTCTGCCGTAGGACTCTGGAGAACTTCCTTGTGTCCACAGGCAAAGCCTGAACCACTGTATGACTTAAATGAGGGTGGAAGGCCTATGCTCTACCCAGGAACAGTCCTAAGACAGGCAATCTCTAGAGGAGGCTTTGCAAGATGGTTTCCTCACATGTCTGTCCCTGTCTTATGGGAGTTTGCCATGGGGAAGTTCTCCGCCCCCCCCACCTCCCTGCTTTCAGAGCAGCATAGGACTTTCCATCTCACTCCCACACTCCTTTGAGGCAGAGCTGCGGGCTCTGTGGCCATTTCGCTGCAGGCGAGAGTTGACTACTCAGCAACAGGGCATGGCACAACTGTGTGCAAGTCATCCATCCCCTTTTGTTTTAGGGACAACCTTTGGGCGCATGAGACAAGGACCCGGAGAACTGGTGCCTGTAGCTTTGCTTGTCTTTACTATCTTTGTAATAGGTTGTCTGAATTTAAACGTGGCTCCTTATATATTTACAAACTAAATCTGTCAGTCTTAGCCACATGTAATTAATTAAATTTCAAGTAATTAAAAATAACTAAAACTCTGTTCATTTGATTAAAGTCACTCTAACCAGATTTTAATTGTTTAGTAGGCACATATAACTAGTGGCTACTACCTTGGACAATCTAGATAAGACCATCTCTATCATCATAGAATATTCTATTGGACAGCATTACTCTAGGTTATGGATTATTTCTCAAGGGCAGGAAATATACTTTGTTCAATACTCTGTCTCTTGGTTCCCCAAAAGTGTCCAGCACGTATTAATTGCTCCGTGTTTGAAGAATGAAATGAAAGAATAAATGAAGATGAAAAAGCAAAAAAAAAAAATTTTGAAATTTCTCAGAAAAAAGAGTATAAGGAAGAAAGAATAAAAGCCCAACTGAATTTTGATACCCTCTCACTGAAGTTGAGAGACTCCTTCAAACCCAATATAAAATTTATATTGGGCACAATAATATGTGCCGGAGCTGTTAGGGGCTGAAAGCTTAATGCCATGTTGTTGAGCAGGTTCCAGACCACCTCCAGACTCTCAGGGGGAAGTGAGCCAAGTCTATGCCCCTGGGAGAACTTGACCTGTTCAGAGGAAGGGCAGTGAAAAACTGTCAGAACACCAACTGAGATGCCGGCAGGCAGAAATCAAAAAGATGAAAGGGAGCAAAAGGTCATCCCCAGAAGTTAATGTTACTAATCAAGAAACAAAAATTCCATTCCTTTTAGGAGCCTGACGCCTTTCTTTTTTTTTTTTTTATCACCAGCACTTCCTACCCCCTCTTTCCCAGCAATAAATCCTAGAAAAAATTCTTGAGTCCAGAAACAATCTCTCCATAAATTCACATTAGCTAGACCGTGATTTTAGTAGCCGAGTGAGCAATAAACCCTCATGGATGTTAAGCAATGGTGCCACCGAGGACCCTGCTTGCCTGCTTGAGAGGAAACACACGGAGCAAAGTGAAAGCAGCCTTCCCAGCTTCCCTGCCACGAAATCAGGAAGCTGGCCTGTCCTGCGAGGCCACGACAGCCCTGATTCTCCAAACACTCACCCTGAACTCCTGCTAGAAGCAGTCCGGAGCAGAGCTGTAAGCAGAAAGCTCTGGGCACTTGCCTGTTGTTCCCTGATTTGTAACAGCCCAGCCTACACTGTACGAAGTACAAGTCGTCTACCCAGAAACGGCAGGCAGCTCCTTCTTTTTAAGTTTCCAGCGACAGGATTGCCGTTTTATGCTGAGAGTCTGGGCAGAGGCTCAGTCTAGCTGGTGCGCTTTCAGTAAATATGTTTCATAATAGAGTCTCGTATTTCATGACCCAGTTCTTGTTTTGTTTGGGGTTTTTTGTTTATTTGTTTTTTATTTTGGTTTTGTTTTTATTTTAGAGAAAGAGGAAAGAGGGGAGAGGGAGAGGGAGAGAGAGAAAAGGATGTGAGGGAGAAACATCAATTGGTTGCGGATCATGGTAGGCCCACCATCCAGGTGTGTGTCCCGACCCATAATCGAACCTGCAAGTTTGGTGTGCAAGGCGATGCTCCAACTAACTGAGCCACCCAGCCAGGACCATGGCACTGGTTTTTAAGACTGTTCCCTTGACTCCTCCTTTCCAGTCTCAGCTCTACTCTCCTTTGCTTCAGTTCTCTCTGTATCCCCTCCTCTAAGTTTGTGGCCTCTGAAGCAGCTGCCTTTTTTAGCACTTTCTAAAAAGGCAAATCCTAAGTATCCATCTTCAGAGCAGTGTGGGTTTAAGACTCACTGGAAATATCCGGGGGGAGACTTTGTAAAGCATATGATTATCTAACCACTATGCTATATACATGAAAACAATGCAAAATAATATTAAATGTACAATGCAGTTGAAAAATAAATTTAGAATTCTCAAAAAAAAAAAAGACTTTCCTACGGAGTCAGCTAAAGATCCCTGAGCCCTGCCCCTGGAGATTCTGACTTAGTAGATCTGAGGTGAGGTTCTATGGAGATCAGTATTTGAAACAGATGTTAATCCATTGCCCGGTTTGCGAACCACTCTCCCAAGGGATGGTAGGAGCCTCCCAGAACCTCCCCCAGCACCTCTGAAATGCTTCCCCCAGAGCCTCTGAAATCTGCCCTGTTGTTAATCCTGTCACTCAATGCCCATTGTCAGAACATGCAAACGATCCAACCTACATGCTGTACTCTGTTTCCTGGCTGTGAATGCCCTGAGGGAGGGAACCGTGTCTTTTAATTTTTGCTTAGTTTGTGGTCAGTGAGGTGTAGTTAAGAGACTAGTCTCTGGAATCAAAGAGACCAAGACTAAAACCCTGACTCCTTTACCATCGATCAAGGTGACTGACCTCAGGCAAATTACTTAACCTTCCTGTTTCAGCTCTCTAATTTGTGAAATGGGAGTGAAGTGATAACAAGTATTAAAAAGTGAAAAATAAGCCTTGAGGAAAAGGGCTGAACTTTTGGAAATCATGGACGGATTGGAATGTCTGGTGGGAGCAGCAAGCAGTGAGGGCCCAACCATGTAGAAGGAGGGCTTTAGCAATTGTCCTCCTCATAGCAATTTTATGTAGGTGTGGAACATGCAGAAAAGACTGTGAAGACTTCGAAAGGAAGAAGGAATTCTACTCCCAGCCTGCCTTCTGCAACATCATCTCTTCCCTGTGTCTCCAGCCTGCTAGCCTTGTTTCTCTCTCTCTCTCTCTACACACACACACACACACACACACACACACACACTCTCTCTCTCTCTCTCTCTCTCTCTCTCTCTCTCTTAGGGTATATTGGCCGGGCCCGAGAATTTAACTGACGTAAAACAGATTAACAGGAGAAAACCACGTAAGTGTATTTAATGTAAGTTAATTTTTTGTGACACAGGGGACCTCAAAAGGAATGAAGACCCAAGGAAATGGCAAAACCTACATTTTTAAATATTAGGTTGAACAAAAAGAGGCAATTGTGAAAAAATAAGTTATGTGGTGAGGCTAACGAAAGATCCAATTATTTTCACAAGGTCTGTTTGTGTAGAATTCTCTCAATCTCAACTGCTTGTCCTTGAAGATAAGATTGTTACTTTCCTTCTGGGGTAAGGAGGACATCTATACGGGAGTTTTATCTTCTGCTTTCAGGAAGAAAACGGGAAGGGTCTTACATCTGCTTTTTTCTTAAGTGCTAATAAATTTTATGTCAAAGAGGCATATTTCGGGGTGAGGTGACATATTCTAGTTTGCTTTAAAGGAAAGGAGAAAAAATAACATCATTAAAATGTCCATACTACCCAAAGCAAACTATAGATTCAATGCAATTCCTATTAAGATACCAATGGCGTATTTTACAGGACCAGAACCAATACTTCTAAAATTTATATGGAACCACAAAAGAACCTGAATAGACATAGCAATCTTGAGAAAGAAGAACAAGATTGAAAGAATCTGATATCAAACTATGTACACTAAGGCCATAGTAATTGAAACACCGTATACTGGCACAAAACCAGACACATAGATCAATGGACCAGAAATAAACCCACATCTTTATTGTCAATTAATTTTTGACAGAGGGAGCAAAAACATACACTGGGGTAAAGATAGTCTATTCAATAAGTGACATTGGGGAAATTGGACAGATACATGCAAAAAAAATGAAGCTAGACCACCTTATACCGAACACAAGAATAATCTCAAAATAGATTAAAGACTTAAATGTCAGACCTGAAACCATAAGAATTCTGGAAGAAAACATATGCAGTAAAGTCTCAGACATTTCACATAGCAATATACTTCTGATATGTTGCCTCGGGCAAGGGAAACAGAAGAAAAAAATAAACAAATGGGACTACATCAAACTAAAAGTTTTTTCACAGCAAAAGGAACCATTAACAAAATGAAAAGACAGCCCACTGAACAGGAGAACATAGTCTACAATGATAGATCTGAGAAGGGGTTAATATCAAAAATTTACAAAGAACCTACACAACTCAACACCAAAAGAACAGACAAATGGGCAAAGGATGCTTCTCCAAAGAGGACATAGAGATGGCTAATAGATACATAAAAAGATGCTCAACATCATAATAATCCTAGAAATGCAAATTAAAACCACAGTGGGATAATACCTCCTACCTGTTGGAATGGCAATCATCAATCGGTCAACAAAGAACAAGTGCTGGTGAGGACGTGGAGAAAAGGGGACCCTCATGCGCCGTTCATGGGAATGAAGATTGGAGCAGCCACTATGGAGAGCAATATGGAGTTATAGCATAAAATTAAAAATGCAATTGCTTTATGACCCAGCAATTCCACTTCTGCTATTATATTAGAAGAAACCCAAAACACTGATTTGAAGGCTATATTCACCCCTATGTTCACTGCAGCATTATTTATGATCACCAGGATTTGGAAGCAGTCCAAGTATTCATCAGTAGATCAGTGGATAGAAAAGCTGTGGTACATTTACACAGGGGAATATTACTTGTCCATAGAAAAGAAAGATAGAAAAAGACAAGTACCATATGATTTTACTTATATGTGGAGTCTAATGAACAACATAAACTAATAAACAAAATAGAAACAGACTCACAAACAGCAGACTGGCAGCTTTCAAAGGGGAGGGGCTTGCAGGGCTGGGTGAAAAAGGTGTAGGGACTAAGGATAAAAACTCATAGAAATAGGCAACAGCATGGTAAATAGGTGGGGAGAGATAAAAGAGGGTAAAGGAGAAATAAAAGGTGATGGAGGACTTGGGGTAGTGAACACACAGTACGATGTATGAGTGATTTTTATAGAATTGTACACCTGAAACCTATATAATTTTGTAATTTTTAACCAATGTCACTTCAATAAATTCAATTTTTAAAAAGGTAAAAAAAAGACACCTAAAGTCAAGAGATGGAGAAATAAGACCTATAATGAATTGAAAGTTTTGTGTTCTATTATTCCATAGAAAAGATGGTGTAAAGAAGATTTAATAGAAGTACTCAGAGCCTAGGAAAGAAATTCGTTTTCAGGGACTATCTTAGTCATTAACTAGCAATCTATGTGACATTGGTAAGAACAGTGATGGAAAAGTCATGTGGCAAGTGTAAGGGGAGCAAGACTCAGAAAGTGAAAAAGCAGAGTCACATAACTGTTTCTCATCTAAGCCAAGCAGAGCAGTAGCACATGACAGTACTGCCTGCTTGGTAGTTCAAGTACAAGTCCATTGCATGCATCAAATACAGCTATTCAGTGCTATTGTCAGATTGTCGGTAACTATTGCTCAACTTACTACTGCAATTCTGATCATATTTTGGTGACCCTTATGTGATCAATCTTATTAAAGAAAAAATTAGACAATTAACAAGGGGATAACAAGCACCAACCCAATTACAGCAGAAAGCACATTTTAAGATTCAAAGAACATATGTGGATTGGAAAGTACTGCAGCCCCGTGTTTACCTCTCAAGCAACTAAAAATTTAGAGCCACTCTTCAAAGACATACAGATTATCTGTCTGGTTAAATATGATCATATAATAATTATCAGAGAAGATGATATTGATAACAACTGCTTACACCTGCTGAGTGTTTAGTTTTGCCAGTTATTCTAATAAGCACTTTACCTCTAATATCCCCTTTAATTCTCACAACAACCTTACACAGAAATATCATTACAATATTATTTAATAGATGAAGAAAGGGTGTAAAAGAGGAACACAGCACTTGAGATGTGTGGAACAATGTCACATAATCTAACATACGTGTAATTGGTGCTTTAGAAAGACAGGTGGGGGTTGGGCAGAGAAGAAATGTTTAAAAAAATAATGGCTGAAAGTGTTTCAGAACTGTTGGAAAACATGCCACGATTGCAAGAAACACAGCAAATCACAAGGAGGGCACATCTAAGAAAACCATAAGTATGGCATTATTGTCAAACTGATAATAATAAAATATAGAGAGCAAATCTTAAAAGCGGCCAGAGAAAAATGGAAACATTACATACAGGAGAACAAATAATAAAATAAGATTTGACTTCCTGCCATAAACAATGGAAGCCAGAAGATAATAAAATAAATTTGTAAAATGTGTCAAGGAAATTTTTAAGAAACTAAAATTCTTTATCTAACAAAATACACTTCAGAAATGAAGGCAAAATAAACACATTTGCAGGAAGCAAGAAACTGAAAGGTTCTATGTGAAGTAGAATAGCACTAGAAGAAATGCTAAAATGTTTAGGGGAAATTATGCTAGATAGACAAGTGGATATGTGGAAAAGATGAAGACCACAAAAATGGTCATTATAAAAGCCC